CAAGAGCTTTCCTGGTATGGTGAGGTCGATTCACTTTTCAGCCTTCTTTTGATCAGCAAGCATTTCCTGAGCCTGCCCCTCTCTCCCTACAGTTCTTTTTGGTTATGTATTTTCTGTTTCTCTTCCTCAAGCCTAATGAGCTTTCCCCAGGTCTCTCAGTATTAATTTATGGCTCAAAGAGTAGGAAATTTAACACTATTAACCCCTCTGTTCCTCCTACAATTCTCAGTACCTCTGCTTTCCCAGATGTCACATTCCTCTCATTTATTCCCCCCCTCTCTGATAGCTTCTTCTCCGCCCCTGTCATTGACAACATTTCTTCTTTATGCCCTTTGAATCATACATTTCCTAAGGGTCTCACTCTGGGCCTATCTTCTAAAATCCTTACTCTGATTTCCTTGGTGATCTCATCAACTCTCCCCTTTTCCCAGCTTTCACTATTTGGAGGTGACTTCCAAATCCACATCTCCAGCCCTGAACTTCAAGTCATATATTTTCAAATCCCTGGTAAATATTTCTCCTTGGAAGTCCTATTAGCCCCTCTAACTCACGTGCTTTTGTTGGCTTCTCTGTTCTTGATAATAGGCCAACAGCCTCCTATCCACCCAAGCTTGAAAACTTGGAGTCATGACTCCATTTCCTTTCATCTTCTTCATCTCCTCAGCCCACTATCTAGAGGATAAAGCCCAAACTCTTTACTTAGTATTCACAGCTCTAGACAATCTAGCCGCAACCTATCTTTCTATCTTTTCTAGCTTCTAGCTCACATTTTTCTCCTCCCACATACCTTAATCCTTTCCTCATGCTGTTCCACCTTCACTGTGTCCTGGGTTATATCACTCCCGTATCTTTCATTTCCATCTTTTCCCTCACCTTAAGGGCCATTTCTCATCTTTAACTGTTGATCTAGAGCTCGTTCTCAAACCCATCTCAAGGATCATATTCCCAGAATATAGTGTTTGCTCCAGTGTCCACCCACCTGGGAGAGACCAGCTGTCCTTGACATACAGATGCTCTCTTTCACTCTCTGTATTTAGTCCACCACTAATCCCCCAAATTGTACTTTCTCAATATCTCTTGTATATATCCATTTTTCTTTATCTCCACTATAAGACCTTTGCCCAAGTTAGCACCATTTTTTCACTTGGGCTACCAATGTGGTCTTCTTAGCTGACCTCCTGGGTCTCCAGGTTGTGCCTCACAATACACATAGAATGGTTTTCCTGAACACAAATCCAGTCAGACCTCCCCTTCCATGCCTTTCCATGGTGCCCAAGGTGCAGGCCCTTGTGATCTGCACTCTGTCTGCACCTATAGCTGCCTGGCTTTTTTCAATCTGTACCACACCCTCTCCTATAATGCAGCCCTTCTACCTTCCAGTCCCTCTGCCTAAAATTCTCTTCCCTTTTGAGCTTGCTCTCATACATTAAGAACCCATCTCAAGGCCTTCAGAAAAGTCTTCCCTGCCTGTATGTGAACTTTCCCCTTGTGGTGCTTTTAACAATTTATTATTTCTGTTATCTGGTCGTGGCCTGCCTCCACGCCAAGATGCTCACCATTGTATCTGTTTTCATCCCAAACTTCCAACAATGCCTGAATACAGTAGGAGATACTCAATGGACACTTGCTCACTGAATGAGTTAGTTGTTTCCCTCTCCCCTCAGATTTCCTAATTTTAAAAGGAAATCCCTACTTTGCACCTATTTCTCTCTGGTAATATTGACTATGGTTTTCAGAAAATGAAGGTGAGAAATTAAATTTTAATTCGCCTTGCTTAACAGGCCTTATGTGTGTAACAGCCATAGTTCCATGCTACCAGATTTTTAAAACAATGGTTAAAGAATACAAAAGCTGGCAACAAGAGAGAAAATACAGGTGGGTCTGAATGAGGCTAAGGTTGAGGGTTTTGACTCCAGAGTAGACAAAAGTAATTTATACATCTTTCCTTCACCCCTCACACCACCAGGCTTCAAAACTGGAACCAAACTAGGCACTAATAAATGTGATGTTCACAGGTTATAATGAAAATTTCTAAAAGTGCTTTCCCCCACCCCAGTCAACTAATTTATTTTAAAACTCTTACTGAAAGTGACTTACACTAGGTTTTAAAACTAAAAACTTTCCAAATCTGTTTACCTCTGATGTTTCTGTGAAAGCCAAAGATGAGAGTGAGAGCAACACTGACTTGGGGAAAACATTCAAAGCAAATACAAATGCATTATCTGTCCTCACATCTGGCTCTAATGAGGTACATGCTCAAAAATCTGCTTGTAAACATTCCTGCTCAACTGTCTTGAATTCCACTGATAAGAACTGAGAGGACAAGATGTGGTAAAGAGGTACAGAGAAACGGAAATAACATCAGACTGGGTGACAGAAAACTGGGATTCCTGCCTTCACCTCCACAGCTCACTAGTCATTTGACAAAGCATTTAATCCCTCTGTGTTTCAGGAACCAGAAAATGGCGATGATGGAGTTTTGGTTCAGGAGGGCAGACAATGTAGATGCGCTGACCTCAGTCTCCTCCCAGACATTCCATAGATCAGCAATAAAGATGTACGAGAGGGGACACAACTAGAACTGAAGACTTTGAAATGACTCATGTTGGGAGAGGAAGTCATGGCCCAGGACCCCCACAGGAGATTGAAACAGAGACAGGAGTGAGAGTCATTCCTCCCCTAAAAGACCAGGAGAGGCTCCACACCGAGAGGGAGCAGGTGTGAGAGCAAAAGTGACCTGAGGATGACAATAAGCATGATTCACTAAACATCCACTATTGAAACAGACGTTTTCTCCCTCTCCATGAAACCCACACACCCAGAGAGACTAGCAGAGACTGTCATACCAGGTCCTTACAATAATAATCTAGTACTTTATTCATAAATATAAATGGAAAGACAAAGATGTCTCATATTTAAGGGGAAAAAAAATCCAGCCCCAAAGAGGGGAACCAAAATGAAGGTACAGCTGTAAAAACCTCCCAGAAAGTAGAGCATAACTTCAAAAAAGGGGAGGGGGAAGACTGAGAGAAATACAGAAGATAAATCTAGGAGAGCCATTGTGCATCTAATAGGAATTCCAGAAAAAGAATAGAGGAAAAAAAGGAGGTTTAACAATCAAAGAAACAATTCAAGATAATTTCCCAGAGCTGGAGAAAGACTGAAGTTGTCAGATTGAAAAAGTCCATTGAGTGTCCAAACAGATGGAATCTCAGAAAACCCAAAGGGAAAAAAAAATGCTAAAAACTTCAGGGACAAATAATAGATTTCTTACCTATCCCTCATGCACCTCCCTCCCCTCACCAAAGAATCAGATTGACATTGGAATTTTCTGCTGAAAAATCTTAGAAACTAGAATATAATGCAGAATTGCCTTTAAAAGAATGAAGGGAAATTATTTTGAAACAAGAATTATATGTTGGGCCAAACTGTCAATCATAAAATTAGTGAAAACAGATTTTCAGACTTGTTATGACTCATAAAATTAGCCCCCTGTCCAACTTTTGTGACAACTGCCTTAAATTTTATTGCATGTTGTTAACACAAAAAGGAACCCAAAAAAGAGACATATGATACAAATATTAGGGGCTCTAATCCAAAAGTGAGATAATCAAAGAAATTTCAATATTTTAGGTGCACAATAAATCTAGAGAGCAAGTTTCATCAGGAAGTCAGAGGATTTGAAGAAAAATGTATTCAAAAAAGAAAGTGGTTTCCTTTAAAAAAGGAAAAAAGGTAAAAAAAACAACAACAACTATATAATCATTAGTGATTTGATGAAGACTTGTAATCTTCTATCAACAAGTGTCTTAGGTTGGGTTTCCTGGCTGTCTTCCTCAGCTTGGGCTGCTATTACAAAATATCATAGACTGGGTGACAAACAACAGACACTTATCCCTTACAGTTCTGGAGCCTGGGAAGTTTGAGATTGAGGTGCCAGCAGATTTGGTGTCTGGTGAGAGCCCTCTTCCTGGCATGCAGACAGAAGACTTCTTGCTATGTGCTCACATGCCTTTCTTGGTGTATTTTCATGGAGAGAGAGGAAGGACTCTGGTCTTTTCCTCTTCTTAAAAGGACACTAATACCCTCATGAGGGCTCCAAACTCATGACCTCATCTAAACCTAATTACCTCCCAAAGGCCCTGCCTCCTAATACCATCACACTGGGGGTTAGGACTTCAAAATAGAATTCTAGAGAGGGAAAACCTTTAGCTGATAATACTAGCGGAGCCTAAGATGAAGATTCTTTTATAAGTGATTTATTAAGAAAGTGCTCTTGGGGGAAAGGGGATGAGGGAAACTATAAAGAGCAAGAAAAAAGCTAAGCAAGAATGTGGCTCTGCTGAGTATGAGCTGTACACTGACTCCATAGGGAAAAGGGGAACACAAATTGCACCAGACAATGGGTCCCATCTTGAGGCAAGCTGGTCGGCTGACCCCTGCATCAGTCATTCAGCCACAGGCCTGTGTGGGAATGGGTAACTTCCCCAGAAAAGCAGCTTCCACTAGGCCCAGGGCAATTCTCTGGAAAAGTGGCCAGCTGTGAGCTATTAGACGTTAACACTCATTACAGCTGAGACATGGCTGTACAGTGAATCAATGGCATAGGGAAAGAGTTAGGCAATTTAAAGTTTCAGGAAAAACAAAAAGCTGTATAAAAAAGCCATAGATCCAAATGTGATGCAAACTGGAGCCTGACAGTCTAATTTTGGACAAGCAATATTATCTAAGACTCATTTGACTTTGATGCTTGAAACATTCTCCTTTAAATTATATAGGTTTAGTAACAAGACTACATTTTCTACTTTGTGGAACTAATCACTAATTAGACCTGGAGTATATCATACTTTCATAATCATATTAACATGAATATTGTTTTATTTTTTAATCAACCTATAAACAAAGCATGTAAGACTTATAGTTACAGGATAGAAGGTTAAAATTTTAAACCTTAACAGTATTAAACTAATGGTAGAGCTGACAGAAGTTAGGAATAGGGGGAAGGTATAGCTCAAGTGGTAGAGCATATGATTATCATGCATAAGGTCCTGGGTTCAATCCCCAGTACCTCCTCCATAAATAAATAAATAACTGCACCCCCCTAAAAGAAAAAAGAAGTTAGGAATAGGAGAACAGATGAGTTGAAGGAAAGCATAAGAGTAAAAATTCTTCATCTGCCACAAATGGAGTTAATACATATATATTTTATTTTTTTCTTTTTCATATGTATTTTCTAAAGTTGAGATATGAAGAAATATAGATATAAGCACAATGTTATTTAATATTATAAAGATACGTAATGAAAGAACTAAAAATAAATATATAACTAACAAAAATTTGAAGGAAAGAGGAAGGTAATACAAATAAGATATATTTCTCAATTTCACAGAAAGGAATCAATTTAGATTCTACCTAAGGCTGATAAATCAAGAAATGACCAGACATGATTATTTGGAGTTACAGAGATAAATACCAGAAGTGAAAAGAGAAACAATTGAAAATGGTTGTCCAAGAAGTGGTGTGGAAAAGGATAAAGAAGCAGTAATTTTCTTAATTTTGTAACTGTCTGTATTGCTGGGGGGGGGGTTCTCTGTCCTCCACATGTATTGCTTCTGTAGCACTAATAAAAATGGCAGTAGGAATACTTTCCAGCCTATCATATTAAGCAACTAAAAGGGTTAATTAGGATAAAGTATAAGAAGGCACTTGGAAAGCTCTTAAGCGCTACAACAGACATGAAGTATTATTAAGAGGGCAGTCTTAGGCACTTCCAGATTGGGAAAGGAACTGTAGCGCTTTCCTTGATCAAGTCCTATTTTTAAAGTGCCAAGGTCCAAATTAAAAAGGAAGCTGTCTCTAAAATGCTGACTGTAAAATATCTGAAAGACTAAATGTGCTGAGAGAAAGTATTTGGAAGAATGACAAGAAGAAAATTTAAATAGCAAGTGTTGAGATAGAACTATTGGGTTTCCATCAAGTTCTTTCTCTAAACCAGAAACACCATGATCAATAGTCCTGTTAGGGCTTTGAAATAAAATTGTTGGTTCATGTGTCTATCTCCTTTGTACAAAAAGGAATTTCTCAAAACAAGAAACCATGTCTTAAAACACTTCGTTAAATCTCTATTGCCTGTCTTGGGGCCTCCTAGCACTTAGTAGGTGCTCAGTGAGGGTTTGCTAAATGCATACATGGATGAAAGAACATAGAAAATAAGGCCTTTTTATTCTCTAAAGCATACTCTTCGTTTGTCTATGATGAGGAGGACATACTATTCAGATATTTGTTGGGTACCTGATCTCTCAGAGACTCATCTGAAAAATGAAAATAATGGTATCTACCTCAGAAAAGTTGTCATAATGATTTGCTGAAAATAATGCATGCAAAGCTCTGGGCACATAGTGAATTTTCATTAAACAGTTTATTATTATTATTATTATTATTATTATTATTATTATTATTATTAGCAACTGCTAATAATTACTGAGAGACCACTATGTGACATCATTGCCCACAGAGCTGCACCAATGAAGATAAGCAAGAGTAGGACCTCATAGTCCAGTAGGGGAAATGAACAAGCTTCCAGACCACTCTGCTGTGCCTCTCTCTCTCCACGTGCTCCAGAGACAAGATCCTCAAAGAGAGCATCCCTCCTGGGCCCATAAGAGAGGGTACGTCAGGGAAGACGGTTAGTTACAGAGGTACTTGTACTGAATTGTCTGTGAACAGCCTTGCCCCCAACAACTCTGAACCTACTGAGAGGCAAAAACTGCCTCATCGTCTCCCTCGTTCCTAGTACGTGTGTCCCACAGAGCACTAAATGAACACTGGCTGCACAGACCTAAGTTAGTCAAGGCAAGACACTGGGCGATGGGGAGCAACCTAGAAAGCGGTGTTGGTAAAAGAGGCACCAGTCTCAGGGATTCACAATGAAAACAGCAGGAAATCACACGGGCCTGAAGCACTCATAGCCTGACCACAGGCACAGAGGTTCTGATTCTACTGGCCCCCAAAATACCCCCAAACAAAGAGGCCAGAAGCAGGTCCTTATTTAAACCATCAGGCTTTGTGTCTTGTGACCCTTTCATCCTGGTTGCCATGTGCTGGACCTGGGAATTGGTAACCAAGCCTGAAGATACGCAAACAAGCAAGGAAGTGTCCCCTCAGGGCCTCCATTAAAGGCACCACTGTCAGGGTCTCCAAGAAAAGATGAAATAAAAGGACCCATTCCCACCCCCACAGCCCTTGAATTCCCTTCTTGCCGGGTGCCTTGGTCTTACAGATTTTGGTGCGTGTGGTACAGCAAGAAGAACGTCTTCCTACTGGAGTCTCCTCAGTTCTGCACTCTCACTGACTGCATGGTAAATATTTTCTCTCTTCTGTCATCATTTTCTTGAAGTCAGATTTTGTTTTTAAAGTAAGAAGGATAGCACACCAAAAAAAAAATTGGCAATAGACTGACATCATTTTATACCTAGGTTCAGTTTCTTATTATCACACGTTTCATCTTTAGAATGTTCTTTTTATTTGGGAAGGAAAGATTTAAAAGATTCTGTGAGAAAACTGAATATGCAAACGTTCTGTGATCCTATGAATTACAGAGAGTGCATCAGAACATCCTTTCCTTTGAGTTCATTTTAGAGCCAGGCTTGAGATTGAACATGATCACATTCTCCGCATCTCTGGTTGGCATCCTTCATTCAGATCCTTATCACACAGCACAGCACCAATGTCCCCTGACTTCCAGCACCCCCACTGATTAAACAGCAAGGGTCGTTTTTCTTTTCTGTAATGATTTTGCAGTAAAGGGCAGAATTGATTTCAGAGCTATGACTCAGGGCCTGGTAAAATATTGGCCAAGAAGTGGGTGAAGGCAGCCACTGGCACTCTGGAGATTTCTGTACCTTGAATAGAAACCTAAAAATACTAAAAATACCCATGTAACCAGTCTTGCTAATTTAAAGAAAACATCTGAGTTATCTGCTGACTACTTAGAGCTTTCTACTTAGGAATCTCCAAAGGATTAAGTAGCTTGCTATATTAATACTCTTTATTCAGCCATTTTGTGGGGAAGAGAGTGGGCTGCTATAATTAATAGGGCCTTTCCTTTGCAAGTCTACTCTGTATTGGTCACCAAATGGGGTAAACAAAAGAACTAACTGTTTGGTTTAAGTTGTAAAGACAGTTAAAATAATTTTCAAAAAAGAAAAGAGTTTGCTTTTTTAAGGCAAAATTTAAGTAGTAATGATTTTAAGAAATATTTAGTAAAACCACAAAACCTTGCAAGGAATTAATGGAGCTAGATAGCAGACTATTTTAGGTTATAGCAAGACATTTCAAAAGAAAATTTTAAGTGGCAATCCTTCTAAAATTAAGTGTACACTTCTTTCTAAGGCAGAGCACATGGAACTGAATTTAACCTACTTCGTAAGGGGACCCATCAACACTGTTAGCAACATCAGCGCAAATAGCTATCTGTGCGGAGCTGAAAGAGTGCCACCTTCTTTGCCTTCTCACTCCGTGTTCCTGGGCAGCTGTGATTGGAGCTTCTGAGCCCACGGCTAGTTTTTCTCACTCCTTCCATAATCTCAGGATTCTAGGCATTACTTCTTACTACTCCTAGTAAGCCTGCCTGAAATAGCCCTTCAACTCTCAAGCCTTTCCCTTCTCCCATCCCATGTGACTGCCTCGGAGTTTCTTTGTTAGAGTGATGTCCATAATATTCAGGAAGAGGCTCTGACTGAGTGGTTCTTCCATAAGCAGAGAAACTCTGCCACAAAACTCTTGGCTACTCAGAGACCTTTGCTCACTTCACACTTGGTGATCAGCTGTGTTCTCAAGTGATAGGAATTCTAGCTAACTGGGTTCTGGATAGGAAGAGCTTACTTTGACAACATTAGTTATGGTAACATATCTCAGAATAGATAAGGAAGGCAATGCTTTCTCTTTGATAATTCTTGATGATGTTCATGTAGTATTGGGAAATTTCTTTAAAGGAAAAAAATAAAGAAGTTTCCATGCTGTCCCCTCTGCCTGAAAGGGTCTTCCCTCCTTCACTACCTGGAAAATTATTCATTATCCTATAAGACCCTAGCTGAACTGTCTCCTTCTTTCCTGATTCTCCCTGGTAAAATTATCTTCATACTCCCAAAGAGTGGAAGTATCTGATCAAATAGTGAGCTATTTGAGGTCAGGAAGTACAACTTGTTCATTTTTGAATGCCCAGGATCTAAAACAAGCACTGATATTTGGAGCTTAAAATTATTTGTGAATAAACATGGGTTATTTTAGATTATTCCATTTCATTTTGTGGTCCTCTTAAGATGTAAGAAAGAGAGAGAGTTGACAATGGTACCAGAGCAAATACGTGTGTAAGAGGAACAGGCAAATCAGCGGATGGAGGAGAGAAGAGAAAGAGAAAGAGAATGTGGGAATGATGGAGAAGGGTGTGTTAGAAGGAGTACAAGATTTGATAGGTTCTTGAGGGTTGGATTACTCACTCTTATGGCTGTTCTACTTGTTTAAGCCATACATTTCAGAGTTCCTTTCGTACTTGTTCCCTGAGATGTGAATTAGCTTTCAAAACATTGTTCAGAATCTTTCATTTTTCCTAACCTTAACTCTTAAAGCTTCAAGGCTATTCATCCATCACACCTACTCTCCTGACTCAGAATTACAAGTCTCTTAACTGCTTCCTCTGTTTCAATATCAGAATAGCAAGATCAGAACGCAGAAACCATTTCCGTCATCAGAATATTTCAGATGGGGTGAGAGGGAGAAGTTACTTAAAGACTTGTAAGCTATCCTTGATAAAAAATTTGTTGTGACCATCACTTGAGTAAATAAGTCTCATTTGACTCACTGGACTGTATTCAGTATTTAACAAACTACCCCTTTTCTTGAGGAGAGGATAGAAAGAAGAGGGGGTATATGAGGACAAAAAGTGCTTCTTTCATTCGATCTATAAAATCAAACGGCAAACGGCAGGGAGTCACAGAGAGCAATTTGGGATTTAAAAAAGAAAATATCAAACTTCTGAATTCCATGGTTTCAAAACTAATTTATTCACCATGAAT